TTTGTTTTTTCCGGTACTGGGAATTGAACTCATGACCTTGCGCTAGCCAGGCAGGCTCTGTGCCGCTGATCTAAATCCCCAGCCCCCTTTATTTTTATTTTTAACACAGAGTCTTAATAAGTTGCTAAGCTGCCCAGGCTTGAGCAAATAAAAAGGGGCTCAGAATGTAGCTCAGTGTGAAGACCCTAGGCTGGACACACAGTAATACACACACACACACAGTGTGATATTTTCTATTTTTTATGCCACCTTCAACTTTAGTTCTTTTCATTGCCCGCCATTGCCACAAGATATATAGGATAAATGTTATGAGGCCATTTTTAATGAGGAGCCTTCATGCTAGGGATGAAGGGCAGATTGTGAGCCAGAGCAGTAGGCACTGCATCTCAAGTGATGCTTAGATGAGGGGGCCAGGGATTTTTATAAGAACATACTTTCTAGATCTGAGTCAGGCAGAGGAGAGCCCTAGGGATGCAGAGACCCAGGTGGGACACCCTCTCAGGAGCCCAGATGTCCAGGAAGGGCAGCACACTTTCATAGACCGGGAAAGGGAGGAGCCATGTAGAGAACTTACCAGTGTGTGTGTGTGTGTGTGTGTGTGTGTGTGTGTCTTCGGGGATAGAGGGGAGGGCTAGACATGCACTCATTGCAATACCATATCCCACTGCTGAATCAGGAGCTATTTATGGCTTTGTCCTATGGGATATCACATTCCTGGAGCTTTTCTGCTCACACACACACATAAACACACACACGTAGACACATAACTACAGTACACAGGAGCCATACCAACAGTCATGAGCCTCCTCCCTCCGTTTTACATCCTCATGCCCATCCCCAATCTCTTGGGTTTTTTATTTTTTTGTGTTTTTTTTTTTTTTCCAGTACCAGGGATCGAACTCACAACCTTGCACTTGCCAGGCAGGTGCTGTGCCGCTGAGCTAAACCCCCAGACCCGCCCATCCCCAATCTCAGCACATCCCATTTTGTTCCTGAAGCGTCTCTTCGCTAGGGTGTTTCTGTTACTCCATAGTATATTCCAGTTCCGCCCTCCACACACACACACCAACACACTGCCCACTCCAGCCTGACTCAGTCACTCTAGGGCTGAGAATCACACCCAGCCTCCTACTAGAGCATCTCTGACAGATGTGTCACCCAGCAGGAGGATCTAAAGTACAACCTAAAGTACAAGTTTAAACAGTACCTCATCCTAGACACCCCTTTTGCAGGTGAGAAAACTGAGGCCTAGCTAGGGATATGACTTGTCCAAAGCAAATAAGTAGCCAGTGACAGGATCAGAACTAGAAGGTACCCAAGTCCCTTTGCCTAGTTTCCTGAAATTCCACATCTGAAGGCACGAAAAATGAGTTTGAGGTGTGGGACCCACTGATCCTTTAACTTCCAAGAGTCTACTGATACTGTGGGGTGCCAGAATGTTTGAATTGTGTCCACACATTCAGCAAAAATTCCCAAGACACTCCCACCATGTAAGCAAGCACACCTATGCTGTGTCAGTGACTGGGATACAAGGGCATCTGGGGCTTTCTAGAAAGAAGGTATCTTGCCAGGGATGATCACAGAAGGCATGAGTGAAGATTGTACTTCAGGCTTGCGACTTTGGGAGGCAGGGTTAGCTGAGCAGGGGAAGATCTCTTAGGATGGAGGGACAGGCACCCGTGAAGGGGAGGAAACAGTAGTTGCTACCAAGTGTGTATACTTAGCACAAGCCAAGGATTCACACAACAAACCTATAACCTAGGAATTCATTCATTTAACAAAAAATTTATTGAGTGCTTACAATCTGCGCAAGTGCGGCAGGGACATCTATGAACAACACAGACCGAGTCCTCAGACAAGAACAAAAGAGAACAAATCCCAGGAGTTTATGTTCTGGGAAGGGTCGCCCTGATTCACAAATGAAAAAACTGGGGTATGAACGGGGAGATTAAAACACTGCCTTCATTTATGAGTGTCAAGGTCCTGAGAGGCTGAGGCAAGAGGATCACAAGTTCAAGCCAAGCTTTCGTGCTTAGGGAGACCCTGCCTCAAAATTTAAAAAATAAATAAATAAAAAGTGTAAAAGGGCCGGGAATGTAGCTCAGTATTAAGGCCTTGGGTTCCATCTCTAGTACCAAAAATAAATAAAAAATGGAAATAAAACAAAAAGCTAAATCTGTGTTCTTAAACCCTTTGCCACCCTGCCTTCCAGGAAGCCTGGAATTGAAGGTTGGGGTCCTGAGGGTCAAGTCCAGAAGGCAGCAAGGACCTCCTGTAGGGTTTTGAGAAGGGCGTGGTAGAAACAAAGTGCTTTCATTCTCTGGGCGGTCTCTCCCCTTCTATCTATCCCCACCCCCCTTCTCTTCTGCCTCTATATCCCTAGCCCCCTGTCTCCATCCCCACATCCCCATTTGGGCAGACTGGCTTCTAGTGGTCTGGGCTGAGCCTCCGGCGGCACCTGACACCCCCTCCCCACCCTCCCCATCCCCACTAACTAAGCCTTTGTCTGCAGGCCCGAACTTGTGAGCTTCCGGCCCTCCGGGCTCCATTGTTGGGTGTTAAAAACGACGGTGGCAATCGATGGCGCTAGGAGTCTACGTGGGATTGACAGCTATACAGGAATTAGGCCTTTGCCTTCACTCAGCCGGTGCGCAGAGGTGCAAAAGTTGGGACAGGAGCGCCAAGGGTGCTGGGCCAGTCTGAACCCCGTCGTGAAGCAAAAGGTCCTGGAACCCAGAAGTGCAACCTTTCCCTGGGGCAGGGGTGGGGAGATGGTACCGTAGTGGGAAAAGGAAGCTGGTGACTTGGGGGGGGGGTTACTCAAGAAGCGGGGGATGCAGAGAAAGAGGAGCAGGAGGGGAAACGCAGAATGGAAAACCGAAGCAGCAAGAAGGGAGTGCAGGTAATAAAAGGAGAAAAGGTAGAGCAAGATGGGAAAAGTCGGAGAAAGGGAGAGACAGACTGAGCTCGCGGGCCGCCGGGCGGGATCTGAGGGATGCGGGCGCGGAGCGACGGGGCAGCCGGGCAGCGCGGGCCGGGCGCTCGGGAGCGGGGAGGTCCGCGGGGCCACAGCTGTCAGCGGGAACAAAGGCCGCGCTGC